TCCCAAGTTGTTTTTTTTTTTTTTTTTTCAGTTGGAAGATACAGAAAGAAGCAGGGCAAAGGCTAATAGAGTTTTGCCAAGAGAACGCACTGGTCATAGCAAACACCCTCTTCCAACAACACAAGGGAAGACTCTTCACATGGACATCACCAGATGGTCAACACCACAATCAGATTGATTATATTCTTTGCAGCCAAAGATGGAGAAGCTCTATACAGTCAGCAAAAACAAGACCAGGAGCTGACTGTGGCTCAGATCATGAACTCCTTATTGCCAAATTCAGACTTAAATTGAAGAAAGTAGGAAAAACCATTAGACCATTCAGGTATGACCTAAATCAAATCCCTTATGACTATACAGTGGAAGTGAGAAATAGATTTAAGGGACTAGATCTGATAGATAGAGTGCCTAATGAACTATGGACAGTGGTTCATGACATTGTACAGGAGACAAGGATCAAGACCATCCCCATGGAAAAGAAATGCAAAAAGATAAGATGGTTGTCTGAGGAGGCCTTACAAATAGCTGTGAAAAGAAGGGAAGCGAAAAGCAAAGGAGAAAAGGAAAGATATACCCATTTGAATGCAGAGTTCCAAAGAATACCAAGGAGAGAGAAGAAAGCCTTCCTCAGAGATCAATGCAAAAAAATAGATGAAAACAACAGAATGGGAAAGACTAGAGATCTCTTCAAGACAATTAGAGATACCAAGGGAACATTTCATGCAAAGATGGGCTCAGTAAAGGACAGAAATGGTATGGACCTAACAGAAGCAGAAGATATTAAGAAGAGATGGCAAGAATACACAGAAGAACCGCCCAAAAAAACCTTCACGACCCAGATAATCACGATGGTGTGATCACTCACCTAGAGCCAGACATCCTGGAACGTGAAGTCAAGTGGGCCTTAGGAAGCATCACTACCAACAAAGCTGGGGAGGTGACGGAATTCCAGTTGAACTATTTCAAATCCTGAAAGACGATGCTGTGAAAGTGCTGCACTCAAGATGCCAACAAATTTGGAAAACTCAGCAGTGGCCACAGGACTGGAAAAGGTCCGTTTTCATTCCAATCCCAAAGAAAGGTAATGCCAAACAATGCTCAGACTACCACACAATTGCACTCATCTCACATGCTAGCAAAGTAATACTCAAAATTCTCCAAGCCAGGCTTCAGCAATACGTGAACCGTGAACTTCCAGATGTTCAAGCTGGTTTTAGAAAAGGCAGAAGAACCAGAGATCAAATTGCCAACATCTGCAGGGTCATCGAAAAAGCAAGAGAGTTCCAGAAAAACATCTACTTCTGCTTCATTGACTATGCCAAAACCTTTGTGTGGATCACAATAAATTGTGGAAAATTCTTCAAGAGATGGGAATGTCAGACCACCTGACCTGCCTCTTGAGAAACCTATATGCAGGTCAGGAAGTAACAGTTAGAACTGGACATGGAACAACAGACTGGTTCCAAATAGGGAAAGGAGTACATCCAGGCTGTATATTGTCACCCTGCTTATTTAACTTACATGCAGAGAACATCATGAGAAACGCTGGGCTGGAAGAAGCATAAGCTGGAATCAAAACTGCCGGGGGAAATATCAATAACCTCACATATGCAGATGACACCACCCTTATGGAAAGTAAAAGAGGAGAGTGAAAAAGTTGGCTTAAAGCTCAACATTCAGAAAACTAAGATCATGGCATCTGGTCCCATCACTTCATGGGAAATAGATGGGGAAACAGTGGAAACAGTGTCAGACTTTATTTTTGGGGGCTCCCAAATCACTGCAGATGGTGACTGCAGCCATGAAATTAAAAGACGCTTACTCCTTGGAAGGAAAGTTATTACCAACCTAGACAGCATATTGAAAAGCAGAGACATTACTTTGTCAACAAAGGTCCATCTAGTCAAGACTATGGTTTTTCCAGTGGTCATGTATGGATGTGAGAGTTGGACTGTGAAGAAAGCTGAGCACCGAAAAATTGATGCTTTTGAACTGTGGTGTTGGAGAAGACTCTTGAGAGTCCCTTGGACTGCAAGGAGATCCAACCAGTCCATCCTAAAGGAGATCAGTCCTAAAGGAGTTCATTGGAAGGACTGATGCTGAAGCTGAAACTCCAATACTTTGGCCACCTCATGCGAAGAATTGACTCATTGGAAAAGACCCTGATGCTGGGAGGGATTGGGACAGGAGAAGGGGACGACAGAGGATGAGATGGCTGGATGGCATCACCAACTCGATGAACATGAGTTTGAGTAAACTCCCGGAGCTGGTGATGGACAGGGAGGCCTGGCATGCTGCGATTCATGGGGTCGCAGAGTCGGACACGACTGAGCAACTGAACTGAACTGAATTACTTTACAATACTGTGACTGTTTTTACGGTACCTCAGTATGAATCGGCCACAGGCATACATTTGTCTCTCCATCCTGTACCCCTGCCCTTCCACACCCCAACCCTCCAGGTTGTCACAGAGCACCAGCTTTGGCCGCCCTGAGTCATGCATGAAACTCCCAATGGCGACCTATTTTACACATGATAATGCATGTTTCAATGCTATTCTCTCAAATCAGCTCCCAAGTTACCACCACTATCTTCTCTGTGCTTTCTCTCCGTTTCCACTCCAGAGTATAACTGACTTTAAAAAAAAGTGGGGGGGGGGGGCAGGTGGAGGATCAAACAAACCTACTGCAAATTCATGCTGCGGCTTTTTTTTTTTTTTTTGGTCTGCACTGCATGGCTTGCAGGATCTTAGTGCTCCAACCAGGGAGTGAATGCACAGTCAAAGTGCAGAGTCCTAACCACTGCACCACCAGGGAATTTCCCATGGTGCTTCATTCAGACAAGTGTTTTCCCTATTCCTTTCTTGCCAGTTACTTTGCCACTTCTACTGATTGTTCCTAGCATTGCTCACAATGTAGCGATGAAAACAGCAGGAGCTCTGACCATCCAACAGACTCCTGATGTGCTTAAGGAGTCCTTGAAATGACTGCTTTAGATAAAGAGGACAATTCCTTCATCTGTTATATGGGAACACATAACAGTAGCATGTACGTCACAGAGTAGTGTAAGGATGCAGGGACACCACGCACCTGAAATGTCTAGCTTGGTGCCAGGCAAGTGAACAGGACCACACGGCCCCGAGTTCCTCCTCCTCTCCACCTCAGCCTCCACCTACGGACTGAACCCCTCAGTCCACGTGTAAGAGAAGGGCCGCCTGCCCACGGACCCACAGCCCCCTGGCTTTGGCGCCTCTCCGGCTGAGTTCTCAGCAACTGGGGTAGCCCAGCAAATCACAACAGAGCTTAGCTGTGTGCTCCCCTTCCCTGCACGGCAGTGAGGTACAGGCAAAAACAACCTACAAGGCAAACTGCCCAGCCTCCACCATCTTACAGGTACAGAGGGGTGGCTGGTCAACACTTCAGGCTGCAGAAAGTCTGACACGCTATCTTCAGGGAGAGGACTCGAGAGTCAGAGACATATGTTTGAATCCTGGCTCTGCCTTTTAATAACCACGCAGCTGTGGGGCACTACCTAAGCGGAGGGGAAAGAACCAGTATTTTCATGTCTGGGAAGCTATTTGTCAGGAACTTGACAGATACAGTTTCCTTTTTCTGTTAAACTTTAAGCCTTAGTTTCTCATATGTAAAGTAGGAGTTTAGGGCCCCTGAAACCTACATCATAGAACGTCCCTGGGGGTCCAGTGGTTAAGACTCTGTGCTTCCAATGCAGCTGAGTGCAGATTCAATCCTCAGGCGGGGAATTAAGATCCCACATGCCATGTAGCACAGCAAAAAGAAATCCAAAACAAAACATCTACATCATAGAGGTATTGCAAGGATTAAATGAAACCAAAACTCTACAAATTTCTTAAAATAGTCCCTGGCACACAGCAGATGGTTTAGAAAGTATTTTTTCCTCTCAAATTTCCCATTATCGTCATTGGAACATCACATTCCGGGCTGCACACTTCTCATTCTCTGAGTCCTTTCCCAGGTCAGGGCTCACCTTCGGCCCCGGCGTGCTTGCCCAGACAGAGGGGAAGCCCACACCCACGCACACCATCGGCCGGCCAGCAACTTCACCTCCTGTTCACTAATCTGGAAACCGCTATCATGCATTTTAAATGATATGACTACAGTACATAAACAAGCTCCAGTCTTCACCTTGTCAGGGTCCTGATGTATCTGAGATCTTCCTGACACTGCCTTCAATTAAAAGAACAAGTTCATCTCGAGTCAGGCTTTTTACGATGGCAGCTAATGAAGGAAACAGCAAGTGCCTGCTGCACCCCAAGCACCACGCCAGGCCCCCTGAACAGCTTAGCTCACTTTATTCCTAGGACACTGTGAGATGTGATTTACGTACGACTATGATATCCCCACTTCAGAGTCAGGAACTGAATCTCAAGAGGTGAAGTCACATAGCTGGGAAGTGGCTGAGCTGCTCTCTGAATTCAGATCTAGCTGTGTCCAACTCTCTGCAGAAATGCTTTGCTTTTGCTTGGTTAGTTTTCTGGCCATACCTTGCAGCATGTTGGATCTTAGTTCCAACTCTTTGCAAGTTCCAACTTAGCTCCAACTTATGTTGGATCTTAGTGCCTGACTCTTTGCGAACCCATGGACTATATAGTCCATGGAATTTTCCAGGCCAGAATACTGGAGTGGGCAGCCTCCAGGGGATCTTCACAATCCAGGGATCGAACCCAGGTCTCTCACATTGCAGGCGGATTCTTTACCATCTGAGCCACCAGTCAGGGAAGCCCTTAGTGCCCCAACCAGGCATCAAACCCATGCCCCCTGCACTGGAAGCGCATAGTCTTCACCACTGGACCACTAGAGAAGTCCCCTGCTAAGTTAGTTCTAATACTCATGTGAAAGGACGGGTTGGGTCTGGGTTTCCAGCTCTGCACCGGCAAAGGGAAGGGCAGGCACCAAGGAGGGGAGGCCTGTCCGAGGGCCCGGGGCTACAGTGGTTGAGCAGGCCCAGAAGTCGACACTCACCTTCCTGGCCATGCTTGCGAAGTGGGCCCCACAGGCCCTGCAGCTTGGTTCTGAGCCTGTGGGGGAAGGGAAGGAGCTGTACCCAGGGTTGGAATAGGCCTGCGTCCTGGCACCCTGGGGCGGTGGGGCCTCCTCAGGCTGTCCATCCAGGCAGAACCAGTTGCAGCAGGTTGCCCACATGATAAGATCTGATTCTAGGAAGAAAGGGGAGAAAGGTCAGAATTAAAAAGACACACCTCGACTGGGTTCCCACCCCACCGAGGGCACAGGGGAACGGCCAGTATAGGTCCACACCTGCCGCCCGAGGCAAGGTGAGGACGGGCTTTCAGGGGCCACATCCTGCACCTCCCCCCCGCTGCCCTTCTAGATAAAGGCGCACACGGACAACTGACTCGCCAGGACAGGCCAGCTCGATCGGCCAAGCCAACCTGCCATCCTTTTCAAAGGAAAGGGTGCTGATGTCTCTTTGGGTTTCATCTGAGATCTTTACTTCAAAGAACATCTTTTGTCTTAGCGATTACACATGGCCTGACAGCTCTGTCATTCAGGAACATAACCTTGCCCCGAGAGCTCAAACAGAAAGAACTCTATCCTACATTTCCACATTCAGACTGACACGGGGCGGGGGGATCAGTATTTCCTTTACTCAGATGAGGCAACCCAGGCCCAAAGAAACCAATGTCATATCTAATTACAGAGAACTAAGATTTGGAAAACCCAGCTCTTCTGACCCTCAACCTAACATTCTCTTCCCTGTATGACGGTGCTCCCTGGTTTCTGCTCCCATCAGCCGCCAGAACTCGCTGACAGCTCTTAACATGTACCTCGGACTCGACATCAGCTTCGACCATGGCACCTGTAATACCTGTAATGCTTATGCTTCTCTCTACACCTAGGCCACCCGTCCTCTGAGGGCAGGGGCCACTGACTCACATCGGTCCTGTGCACACAGCAGACACTCCACAGATACTGGCTTCCTTGCTGAATCAGTGCCTCTGCGGACTTCAAAAGAACTTTTGGGTTATTATTCCCATTCTAAGTATTAAATACAGGAATTAGGGGGAAGGAGGTTGATGGTTTTTTTTTAAGATCACCAAACAAAGAGGATCCACTCTCTCAAATGTCAGAGTAAACTAAATGCTACAAGGGGTTCCACTCAAATGCCAAGCGCTGCTGCGATAAAGTAAAATGCCCTGTTCTCAGTAGACCGAGGCAGTCAAGGTGACCTTGTAGGCCTGAACTCTCTACTCAAGGGGGTAATGAATGAAACATGTAGCGTATTCATAATCAGCTCACACAAAAGAATGGTACTTTCAGTTCTGCCTCCTTACTCACTGAAAGTGCCTTTGTTAAGATTGGAGTTCAAAGACCACAGTGAGCTGGAAGGAACTAAGAAGCCACTGGTTCCACCTTAGTTATTTTTTAAGAGGAAAAGAGGAAGGCCGAGCGAGCACAGTGAAGATCGCAGATATGACCTTCAACCTCAAGATTACTCCAGAGTCTTTCCAGCTTCCCAACACTGCCTCCAACACAAGCATTCACTTCTGCAGGCATGTCCCATTAACACCTGTCTCGGCTGCCTACCTATGACCCCTTGAGAAAGGGGACCATGACAGTCATACAGTGCCTGGCAGATGGGTGGCTCAACTAGGACTACTGAATGAATGACTCGCACGCAATATTTAAAGCTTAACTAACCACACATGCATTGTTTCCTGAACATCAAAAACATGTCTCTCTGGCTCACTGTGACTCGTCTGAAGACTCTCAGTTCCCAGAAAACAGACCTAACCTGCCTTGTGAACTCACAAGGTATAAAGCAGCCAAGAGTAGTTAAATAAGCAACCTATTTGTTGGCAAGAGACTGGAGACAACAGCAGAGTATTAGCCCTGTGAAAGAGGAAGTTTGTAACTCTTAAAAAAAACCACCTGTTGGGCTTCCTTGATGGCTCAGGGGTAAAAGTCCACTGGCCAATGCAGGAGAAACAGACTCAATCCCTGATCCAGGAAGATCCCATATGCCTCAGGGCAACTAAGCCTGTGCAACACAACTACTGAGCCCGCGCTCTAGAGCCTGGGAACTGCAACTACTGCAACCTGCACAGCCTAGACCCCGGGGTCCACAACAAGAGAAGCCCCCGCAGAGAGAAGCCCATGCACAGCAACTGGAGAGCAGCCCCTGTTCACCACAACTGCAGAAAAGCCCGCTCAGCAGTAAAGACCCAGCACAGCCAAAAATAAAAATAAACACATAAAATTACTTCTTTAAAAAATCTAAGAAAAAGACCTAAAAAGCATCCCAAAACAAGATGCTGATGGAAGCATCTGAAACAGTGTGGAATAATACAAAGATCACAAAACCTGGAACCAGAAGACCTGAGCTATTACATACTGCCAACAAGTCACGGCCTTTCTGCGCTTCATGTTTCTCGTCTGGACATTCTTCAGTCTGGAACGCACTAAATGAACCTCAGTGATTGCCACTAGCATTGTAACGATGCTTTCACTGCGATCTCTCTGGGAAGGCGCAGGTAAAAAGTAAGCCTAGAGGGACTTCCCTGGGGGGGTCCAGTGACTAAGACTCCGAGTTCCCAACTCAGGGGGGCCCAGGTTCGATCCCTGGTCTGGGAACTAGATCCCCCACGCCACAATGAAGATCCAGGATCCCGTGTGTCACAACTAAGACCCAACACAGCCAAGTAAATAACTAAAAATAAATATTTTTTTAAAAAGTTAAACCCAGTGATTTCACCACAATTACCATTTGGCTTTCCAGGCTTGTCCCAAATGTGGACAGATTCCTGATAGAGTCAGCAGGATGTGTCAGTTAACAGAATGAGGTGGGGGCAGGGGAGGAGCAGAACAGCCTGGAGACAAGGCTGTGGGTGGTTCACTGAACTTGTCAGAACCTCTGCTCATTTGTGCCTGCAGCCTTTAGAGGGGCCAGTGCTTTGCTATGCTAGGTGAGCATGGTCGAGCACCTGCCCTCATGGAGTTCATGTCTAATACGGGAACTAGAAATGTAAAACCAAACACTGAAACTTCAGGGTGCTTTAACAGAGGTCTGTGTAGTGCAAGGCGGTGTGTGCATGCTCAGTCGCTTCAGCAGTGTCTGACCCTATGAACTGTAGCCCACCAGGTTCCTCTGTCCCTGGGGTTCTCCAGGCAAACCCTCTTGAGTATTTACTCAAGAGGGTTGCCATGCCCTCCTCCAGGGGATCTTCCTGAGCCAGCAATCAAACCCACATCTCCTGTATCTCCTGCATTGCAGGTGGATTCTTCACCCACTGAGCCACCTGGGAAGCCGGGGGGTGGGGGATTGAGGGGAGCAGGGGAAGGGTGACAAAGATAAGAACAACCATCAGCTCCTTCCTCCGCAGTGGAGGAATGACCAGGGAAGACAGACCCTGTTGAGACAAGCTGGGACCTGGGACCCTGTGTCACAATGCCTGAACCAGGATAAACATCTCCTTGAACCACAAAATACAAAGAAAACTGTAAGGGATTAAAAATAACCTTGTGCATGTGTTGGGGCAAATTATGGACAACAAGACACAAAAAGACCAAAGACACAACTGCCACTTCTGAAAAGCTGGGCGCAAAAGCAGGGCACTGCACATGCCCTCTGCACACAATACCACCAAATGGGCGGGCAAACCACCTAAGCTACCCCTCCAGCCCAACCCCAGGATCCACCCTTACCTACCCCCAGCCATTTAAGGAAGAGCTCTCATCCCCCTCAGCAAGCAGGCAAGGTAACCTGTTGCCTGTTCTCGCTGCCCCCTGCTGCAGCAGGGGCCCTAATAAAGCCTTGCTCGGATTTCTTGCCTGGTCTCTGATCAATTTCTATTAAGGAGACCAAGAACCCTGCTCAGTAATACTACTGTGGGCCAGAAAGTCAAGAGCAAAACAACTTTTCAAAAAAAAGAAAAAACCCAACAGCATGGACCAGGGCATCAGAGAAACTACAAAATGCTTGGTTGGGTCAAAGGTAAGGGTAGGGAAGGATGAGAATACAGCAAGTAAACAAGCAGCCACGCAAAACCTTGTATTCCAGGGCTTCCCAGGTGGCCCAGTGGTTAAGAATCTGCCTGCCAATGCGAGGGATGCAGGTTCAATCCCTGGTCAGAGACAATCCCACCTGCCGCAGAGCAACTGGGCCAGTGGGCCACAACTACTGCGCTTGCCCTCTAGAGCCCGCGAGCCCTAACTACGGAAACCTGCGTGCCTAGAGCTCCTGCTCCGAAACGAGAAGCCACTGCAAGGAGACGCCTGCGTGCGCAACCTCGAGAGTAGCCCCCGAGCTCTGCAACTAGAGAAAGACCACGTGCAGCAGTAAAGACCCACAGCAGCCAAAAAAAAAGAAAAACCCACAAAACTTTGTATTCCTTGGTAAGGAGGCTGGAATGGCAGCGGGACACCATTAAAAGTTGAGGCCACACCAGGCTGTGTGACCTTACCTGCATCTTAGAGTGGCCACCACAGCAGTGAGCAGTGTGGAGGACCAATCCGTGAGGGGCGGGTGGGAAGCAAGTTATGAGGGTATGGGTAGAAGAGAAAGGGACAGAGGTCTGCGACAGACTTAGCAGGATGTGGCCTTGAACCGAAGAGCTGGGGGCGGGGAGAGAGGCCGGCTCTCTGAGTGACACAGCAGGAGGGAGAGTAGAACCCTTGATGAGCTACAGCCCTCAGGAGGAGCACAGGTCTGCGGGAGGAGGGGCAGGTTAAGACTGAGTTGAGTTTTAGTACCTGTGGGGGCCTGCGGATGTACACGCAGCACCGCATCCGCTGAAGATGCAGGCTTGGGGATCCTCGCCTACTGGAAAGTACCTAAAGCCAGAGAGGGGCAGGAAGATGGTTAGACCGTCTGGGGCAGAAGAGAGGACGGCCTGGGAGAGCTCTCAGGAACATGTGAGCTAACGCGCAAGCAGCAGAGGACCAACCGGCGCAAAGGAAGGAACCATGCTCAGAGGTGGGAAAACTGGAAGACTGTGTGGAATTTCAAAAAGAAATGTTCGACGCTGGCAAATGACCCAGAGACCAGAATGTGGAGAGGAACGTGATGAACCTAATTTTAGGAAAGTGAGTGTCCTCCATGCCCCAGCCCTTTAGGAAGAGAGAAGCTGATGGATAACCATAGGTTGGGAAGCAAGTGAGAAGTGAGGACTTGCCAGACTCTAAGGATAAA